AGCCAAACGGTTTTATGACATGGCTGCTGAGGCCAGTCCTGACGCCCAGGTTCCAGTTTTTCTAGCTCTGTGCAAACTGGGCCTGGTTTATGCTCTCCAGTACCTGCAGGATCTTAATGTGAGTATTTCCTCCTGAATTCACAAGCTGTCATGCTAACTGTACGGTTTTGAGTAACACGTCTTGTACTTCAGATAGTTTCAGAGATTCTTCGTTAGAAAGAAAAATGATGTTTCTTTTTCTTCCTTGTTGGTTCCGGCTTCTTGCAGTTGAAGGAGCTGATTTCTCAGGTGGACCTGGACCAGCTGCTGGGCCCAGAGTGGGATCTCTACCTCATGACGGTCATCGCCCTACTGCTAGGCACAGTCATCGCCTACCGACAGCGCCAACACCAAATCATAGTGCCACCTCGCCCACCTGCCCCAACGCCTCCTCCCAGACCGCCTCAGGAACAACCACAGGCCCAGGCCGAGCCCCAGGCTCAGGAAGAAACACCAGAGCAGGGCCCGGCCCAGGAAGAGGAGGAGCAGCACTGAGAGGGAGGCAGACGGAGTGAGGGTGGTGAAAGATGGACAAGAGGCTCACTGCATGGAGCACCAGTAGCTGAATACCTGCTACCTTGAGCACCTCACCCACTCTGCCTGTTCCCCTCCATGTGTGTGTGGGTTTTTTTGTTTTTGTCTTTTTAAAAAGGCTTGATGATGGCTGCTGAACTGTTCAGTCTCACCTCTTTCTTCCTTTAAAATATGCTGGTCTTCTGCTGAAACCGACACATCGTGGGTGTTAATGGACAACACTGCAGTAGAGAGAGTGTTTGGACTTGGTACTTTTTGACTCAGGATACTGCCAGACGTTCCCCCTGTGTCCTCAACATGGAATTAGTCTTGTGGTTGCCAGATCAAAAGCATTACGAACTCAACTGAGAAAATTACACTCGTTAGACAGCTTCATTCCCAATTTTGTTCAGTATTTAAAAAAAAGTCTGGGTGGAAAATGTGAAGTAAAATCATTTTCATTTCTAGCGCTGGTCTACTTGGTAAAAGAAAGTCCTGATTCTCTGCATGTCTTCTCTGATCTCCTTGCAGACTTTGAGTTTAGCCTTGTTTTTTTAGCTAACTGATGAGTGAACAAATTTTGCATTCCTTTATGCTTTGCAGTTTTGCATTCATTAGTTATTTTGGGTGACATGTTGTCAGATCAATAAGTGCTAAATATACTAAAACTATGCTGAGTCATCAGTACAAGAACAATAGTTTAGGAAGTTCTCACTGATGGAAAAGCTGGGCTGTGAAGTAGGTGATGTTTGCTGATGCACACGGGGATTAAAATGTGTACAGAAACGTCAAAGTTCATTTAAAAAGCAAGCGAGAGGAATTTAAACTTTTTTGGATGTTGTGCACTACAATATGTGTACATTTGTTTCCAACACTGTTCTTTGATTTAATTATTATTGCTGGTTTTGAAAGGCAGCTTAGTATTTTTTTTTTAAATGCCAACTGTTATCTGGAGCAGCCTTAAAGATAGCAGCAACTTAAACCTTGCATTG